TCATCTATGGAGGAACTCCGCCGCAAGTTAGTCATTGTAGGTGATGGAGCTTGCGGAAAGGTTAGTCTGTTGGTTGAAGCCCATAAGCTATCTGACAACTTGTTCATTCAGACTTCATTGTCCATGGTATATTGCCAAGGACGATTTCCTACTGTAATGCTTTTTCATCCTCGATCGCTTTTCGAACTCATGAGTTCTGGCATATTGAAACAGGTCCACGTCCCGACGGTGTTTGAAAACACAGTCACAGACGTCCACATTGACGGGCGGCACATCGCGCTAGCAATTTGGGACACAGCAGGCCAAGAGGATTATGACCGGCTGCGACCTCTGAGTTATCCGGACTCGCATGTCATACTTATTTGCTTTTCGATAGATTCTCCTGATTCACTGGACAACGTCCAAGAGAAGGTTTGTTGTCAACCACCCTATGCTTTCATCCTGATACTGAAGAGGCACATACAGTGGCTTACGGAAGTCCTGTACTACTCGCCCAACGTTCCGTATCTACTCATTGGATGCAAGAAAGATCTCAGGAGGACCAGACACAATTGCGTCACCACACAACAGGTATGGTTTCTTAATCTTCGAATTTCCATAGTCTAGGTTTTGACTGGTATTATAGGGAATCGCTGTTGCACAGGAGATTGGTGCTAGACACTACATCGAATGCTCAGCCAAGTCAGGCGACGGTGTGACAGCGGTTTTCGAATATGCAACACGTGCGGCTTTGACGGCCCGAATGGGGGACGCTGAATCTGATTGTGGTTGCTGTATATTAGCTTGATCTATTCTTAACGTTTCGACATCTTGATGAAGTTCAGTGATTTTGAGATACCACTATCTCAGAGAGTATCATTGCATGGTACCTGCGCTTTTGCCGTAATTGCGAGACGCTGTCATAATTTCCTACTAATACATAAGTCAGGTTTTTACATTCCATCATGTCCTGTCAACAACTCCCGCCGCGAGTTCGTGAAATCAGATTCTTATACCGTCCCTTTATCCTTAAAAGTACTTCCTCTCTCATTTTCCAAGCTTTCCTTCCCAACAGAACTCTCCTTATCGAGATTTCCAGAACCAAAGTCACCAGTTTTATCAACTGCGTCACGATAGACTGGGACGAAGTTGACGGATAGAGCATAAGTATATGCGAGGACAAAGAAGATAACTGGTACGATCATCGCAAAAGCGGTACTGTCGCGTGCATCGGCGACACGGGCCAAGATGGGTGGCACCTGCACATTGTTAGCGATCTTGTAGTGGAAGTCACTAAAACAGCCTTACACAGGCTCCGCCAACAACGCCGCCAACGATCCAACCGGCACCCCTCTATTTACTCATGTCAGCGGCCTATGTAAGGAAAGAATAATCTAGGGAGATGCCTTGGTATGACGCCCAATTCCACGTATACCGAGCGCGACAATAGTCGGGAAGCAGACACTCTCGAAAAACAGTGTCATATTTAGCATCGCAAGACCAATATTGCCTCGTTGTGTTATGCTAGCACTGCAAAACGCGATAACGCCGGAAAGATACAATAGGAAGACATAACGCGGTTTGACGAAGCGCATTATCACTAATGAAATGAAGAACAGTCAGCAGCCCGCTACTCCTACCATCTTCTAGACATACAGGAGCCAGAGAACCGTCCGATCGCGAAGCAACCTTGCGCAATAGCGAGAAACTTGGCACCGAGAGCCGATGATGTTTGACCTCGTGTTTCAGTTACATAGTTAATGAAGTATCCAGCAATCGCAACTGTAGTAAAGAAGATCAGATGAAATGATGAACATGATTTACACGCGACTTGGTCATGTCAAACCTTGAGATCCAGTGTAACAGAACTGTGCGAAGGCAGCATGGAACACGCGATATTGAGTCCGGAATGGTCGGTCGCTTTCCTTATTGCCGGCATGCGTCACCTCAGCTTGTTGTGCCATATCCGCATCTATCATAGACACTCCGTAAGGAACTTGTAGGAGACATGTGCACCCTAAAAACACGCACCAGTGACTTCAGGAATTACCGCAAAGTAGAATACAACAGAGAGTGTAAAAACGAAGATAGCTATGGCAAGGTATACCCATTGAACGTTCTGGAGAGCAGAAACACTATCTCCGGTTTCCTTGAAAAACACGTAGGATCCCAAGACTGGTCCGATGACCGTTCCTATTGCTTGTACGGCCTGCGCCAGATTGATTCGCAATTCGGCATAGCGCGGGGGACCAGTAACTGGGAAGGCGTTGAGAAATGATGCGCTTGGACAGGAACAGGAACTTGACACCCACCAGCCATGTAAGGGTTCGCGGCAGTTTCCAGAGTCCCCAAACCACTGCCAATAATGAACGTGGCTCCACAAAATCCACCAAAACTCCGTTTGAGTCCAGCTGGCCACATCAGCAGGGCTCCAATCCCATACAGCGTGAGTCCTAGAATGAACGTCGCACGATATCCGTAGTTACGTAAAACCCAATTAGCATATCCAAGAGACGCAAGCGGGTACGCTCCGAAGTAGGCTGCTTGTAGACCAGATGAGCGCGTTCGTGTGATACCAAGTGTATTCTGAAAGTGCTTGTTCAACGTGTCAAGTAGCCCATACGCGAAACCCTCAAGTCACGATTGTTAAGTTACCTATCAGCTCACTAATTCCCCGGCAAACTTACCCAAAGAAAATATAGGATCGTGACTAGAAAAAGTGGGAATAGAGTTTCCCGCAAGGTAAGCCCCGCAGCATCTGTGATCCGGTCGCCAACTTTGAGAGAATGTTTCCTGAAGAAAGTAGATTTCGACTTTTGAAGATGTTCTCGGGGCATAATGGTCAATCTTCATCTTGAAGCACTCCAAATCATATTTATCAAGTTGGATTCTTATGTACCGGGCCGAAAGAAGATTTACCATGTCGGCGAAATTAGATCACCCGGTCTGTCACCAGACATCCACCAATGGATCAGAATGGCTTGCGTGCAAACTCAATCACGTTATGAGTGCAGGTAGTGTGCGTCGTATCCGGCTACGAATTACCCGTTCCCCATTCGATGACAGCAAGCTTTGTGTCTTCAAGAGATGAGCACTGATTATGTAGTGTGTACATACTGATTCCCCACATCGCTTGAACATCTATCCCGTCATGCTGATCACTGCTGGCGCCAAGATTTGGAGACGCAAACGGCTAATCATTTTTGTCGAATCACGACCACAGACAGTAAAATCGCCAGACACAGAAGCGACCGGCACAAGAAGACCACTCCCTGCCGCCGGTCGGAGCCTGGTTCAAGAAAATTATTTTCGTGCTCCGATCTGGCCATGATCACGGGCCTTCAAGGATGTAAGTAAGTATTTATGCTCTTTGCCTTTGGAACCATCGCCTTTCTCCATTATGTCTGATCTGATTCTTGAACAACTCTTTTCGTCTTCTCATGAGGTCTAGGTCTAGCTCTATCTGAGTGCTCAGCGTGAGCGCCACTCAACGAATCGTGAATCGGCGTCTCAGTTTAGAGACGTCTCTTCAGCCACCGAACCAGAACGTGCGATGGTGACAACGTCAATGCCGAGATCTATATGTCTTGAATCCAAATCGCCCGACTAGATGACCAACTTGGAACTGTGAGTGTCTGGAGCCACAACGTGCACTCTCCTTGTAAACACGTTCTGGTTGTCCTTTGTCTGTTATCTGTCTATCAAAGTTCTAGAGCTTCTCCGGACAACATTGAAAGTTACATTGATTCTCTGCAACTCCAGCTCCAGTAGCATGCGGACCTTAATACTCGGCATGCAGACTCAAAATACAAGGGTGACTGGAACCTTGGGCCACGGCAGGATCATTCGCTGTTCGACAACTTGTTTATACAATGATCGTCTTCTTTCTTCCTACGATTTCTACGCGTCAAACCCGTGTGAGGTGCGTTTGCTTTACGGAGCGAACATCCTCCCGCCCCCTCCAGAGAAAATGATCTGAGCATCTATACATACATTCGCAGACACTCAATCACACACGAAAGAAGAAGACTTTCGGGACATCCCTCTTGATCTCAGATAATTACAGCCCGCGGAGATCTAATCTGTTCTTTTGTACGATGCCGTCGGCGCTCTCGATTCTCTCATACTTCGTTACCCTCATCAACCTTCGGTCATTTCCAAATACCTGTGTCCAAACTGGACTTCGATTGCTGAGATAAGACCACACTCAGTTACCCCTCGCATATACCAACCATCTGAACTATTCGCCAAGGAAGCATGGCGCTTCTCACAAACTCATGGGTCTTCAACACCTTTTGTCGAGGCAGAAAAGTTTCTGTCATTAACAACGACCTTGGTGATTGAAATATTCCATCGAAAAGATCAGGTCAGCAACAAACCATCCATTAAGCTCCCTCATCCACGCTTCCCCGCCATTACGGCCCGAAGCGCCATGCGGCTGGATTGCAGAAATAGTGTGCGGAAGGCGGGGCAGCCGCAACGGTGATGTGTCGGTAAGTCGTACTATTCATGGATCATTCGTGAGTTATGCGGAGCGTTTGAGGGTTAGTAAAGCAGATGAGCTATTGTGATGTTACAACCGTGTTCATAACGTTAGACCCCTTCGAGTTCCGCCTATTTAGTCGTTTGGGATTATCCGCCATGCTGGGCCTGTCGAAGAAAATGCTAACACCAGTGATTTCCTGGATCACCTGTATTGATCCTTCTTAATAAGTGCTCTGGTGTCAGTGTGGTGTCTGGATTGAAGGATGGGCTGCCAGTCCTGCTGGTGTAGGTATGCGTTTTTGTCGTTGGTGAGGAGCCTGATTTTGGGATGAGTATCGTAGGAAATGACAGGCATGAATGATCAAGTTCATCTTGAAAAGAAAAAGACCTTGATTGCATGTCCAGGGAAAGGGGTTTAGAAAGAATCTCCCCACGGCACTACATTTGATCTAGAGGTTTGTTGGATTTAATGACAAGGCTTTGGAAGCTGTGATATCAGTCCGGGCATGGACAAAAAGACATAGGAATCTGCCGAGCGACGCCAGCAGGATTTGAACCTGCGCCCTCAAAGAGGAACAGATTGTACTGTTAGTTCGAATCTGTCGCCGTAACCACTTGGCTATAGCGCCTCACGCACAGAGAGAAAAACTGTACTTTTCGGTATCATGGAATGCAAAGATTACCAAATGCAGCAAGAAGAAAACGGTACCAGCATGACAGAAAAAGTACTCCAAGGTTCTTCAGCAATGGTGCAAAAATAAGGGATGGTAGACATTGAAACCTTGAGCTTGTGAGTTCCTGGGAGGGAGAGAATAGACCTTTGGTGAGAGACCTTTGTTCCAAGCTCAGTTGTCGAGGTCGATAACATATATCGTAAATAAAGAAAAAGGAACTAACATCAAAAGCTCAGGGTGGGAGCGAATTCCAATTGAAAACTTGCAAGAAATGTCTTCAAGTATCATCGGTGAACAAAGAAATAATGGTTTGCGTTTTGGATGCACGTCAGAGAGTGCCTTCTTGGAAGGCCCAATTGAAACTCAAGATTAGATGGAATCGTCCATTGAGATGTTTCGTTCAAGCTTCCTAGTCACGAAATGTCCGTAAAACCACTCTTTTACCTACAACGTGCTGGTCCTCAATCGATTTGATAGTATCAATGACTTACTGGTCAAAATCAATAATCTACTAGTCTGGACTCTGGTTTGAACTGCGTCAAGCATAAGGTAGAGCGAATATCTCTCCATTTGTGAGAGATAAGTATATAACTCCATATCTCTCTTCGATGGCTACATTCAACACATCCACCAAATCAATGGAGCACGGAACATCAAGTTGACGGATATGGATTTGGATGTTCCAATGTAGAAGACACAGCTTGTTACATCCGTCCTCTTCCTTAACAATGACCGAATACATTCCGGACTCGCTTGAAGCTGCCGAGTGATGACAAGACCAAACTTTCCCTTCTAACGTGATTTCTGCACTAGGCCTGATGGCATCCGAGTTGTCTGGAGCATACGTGATAGCTATCTCCTCGATTTTCCAGAAACTTGCACATGTGGTTACAATTCCTTGATCGGAGTAGTTGACACGAAGAAGGTGGATACCAGATGGCGAGAGCCACCGATCAATCGTGTCCTGCCAACCAGGAAATTCGGTTTCAGCAATACGCAACAATGCAGCCAGCTTCATTTTGGAACTCATTTCTATATATACTTCAGCCCCAGTTATGGTCTTCCTCTGAATAAAGTTTCTCTATCGGGCAGCGGAGGACTTTGTAGAATAAATTTGTCAGGTAGACATTCCCCATCAAAATCAGCGTTTGATTTACGATTGAGCCGGAAAAGATGGCAAATATGTCCTACAAACAGTCAATGAGTTGATTTCAGACACAGGCATGTATGAAATGTGGCCTTTACCGTCAAATTCTTGTAAATGGCAATGTTCACAGAACAGTTACGGATGAAGTTGGTAATAGTGA